TTCGTATTTCAGAAGGCGGGCCTTACAGGAACTATTCGAGCCGTTCATGCCAGACTGGGGAGAGAGGTGTTGTAATAATGTAAAATATGTGAAAAATAATGTGTTTTTCGAACAACCTAGTATGAGAGCCTGTTCTAGTACACCCCCAAAACAAAATCAAGACTTTGTAAAAGAGCATAATAGGACCCCTTTAAAAAGATTTTACTGACTTCAAACCTTTGAACAGTAGTTTGTATTACTTCATAATTTCACCAAAAATAAATAAATAAATAGAATAAAATAATTTTTCTTTTTTCTTTTTACAGTACATAGTTTTTCAGAGATTTTTTCGAGTATCATTTATAAAACTTTGTTAATGTGTGTATATTCACAAAATATATTTCTTATGATGTACCCTCATTTTTTCCCCAAGAAACCGCAAACAGAATTAAAACCGATGAAAGAAAGGCCATTAAAACTGTTCTTTTTTCTTTTTACAGTACATAGTTTTTCAGAGATTTTTTCGAGTATCATTTATAAAACTTTGTTAATGTGTGTATATTCACAAAATATATTTCTTATGATGTACCCTCATTTTTTTCCCCAAGAAACCGCAAACAGAATTAAAACCGATGAAAGAAAGGCCATTAAAACTACAATAACTATGAGTCATTTCCAGCATAACGAGTTATTGGTGTTTATACATCACATATGAATTAGCGCTCAGTGTTTGGTGAATGTGCACAAAGATGATTTTGGGCATCATAAACGGTGATAATAGGGAATAATAAAAAGACAGATGATCTTTCAATGGGCTCTTTAAACGCAGAGATATGGCGAGCGCTTCAAGGCATAATTGCACCCATGTATCTTCAAGCTCTCTGCGTCTTGTTATCCACTTTTTTTATTTCTCTCTCTCTCTGGACTGAGGAAGCTCTTTAGATCTTGTTGCACACAGATAAAAAAGCATTTAATATTGGGTTCGCCTGCAGGAAGAGCCTTTCTCTGCTCCGCTGCTTTCAAAGGGCCTGGGACTAGTTTCTGTGGTGTGGGCTTTTACACGCTCAAAGCACTAACTAGAGAGAATATTGCAAGAATGTCACTAGTTTTATGAAATTTTATGCAAATGTCAAAGGTAGACTATACTGTTCAAAAGTTTGGGCCTTTTTTACTGTTTTTGAAAGACGTTTCTTCTGCTCACCAATCATTTATTTGATCAAAAATACAGTAAAAAGCAGTAAAAATTTGAAATATTTTTACAATTTAACATAACTGTTTTCTATGTGAATATATGTTAAGATGTAATTTATTTCTGTGATGCGCAGCTGTATTTTCAGCATCATTCCTCCAGTCTTCAGTGTCACATGATCTTCAGAAATCAGTATAATATGCTGATTTGCTGCTCAAGAAACATTTCTGATTATAATCAACAATAAAAACAGTTGTGCTGTTTCTTCATATATATATATATATATAAGATTTAGCTACCTTTTTCAAAAAAGCACCAAGTGACAAATCTAGCAGCTTCTTGGATAAACCTTATTTAGTTTCTGAGACTCACCGGTATTGCCGCATGAGCATGATCTCTCCGCGTCTGCTCTGTTCAGTGAGTAATCACAAGTTAACTCACAACAATCATGCGATTAATTGCGATAAAATATTTTAATCGATTGACTGCCCTAATTATATTATATTATATTATATTATATTATATTATATTATATTATATTATATTATATTTCGGAGAGTTTTTCACAGACGTGGGTCTCTTCGTCTTGGGCTCCCAGCTCAGTCTGGAGGAAGCTTCGCAGCGCTTCTTTGACACCCTTTTCCCCCTGGTTTACGAGCGGCTGGTGGAGCCGGATCTGTCGCGCTTGTCTCTGCCGTACTCCGAGTGCGTCCGTGCCTCCTGTCGGGATCTGGGGCCGTACGGCGGAGCCCCGGGTCGCCTCGCCGCGCTCATCTCCCGCGCCTCACTGCCCGGCCGGGTGTTCCTCCAGGCGCTACACTTGGGCGTGGAGGTCATCAACACGACCGACCACATTCAGCTCAGCCGCGAGTGCAGACGTGGCCTGCTGAGGATGAGCTACTGCCCTCACTGCCAGGGTCTGACCGCCAGCAAGCCCTGCATGGGCTACTGCCTCAACGTGGTGCGTGGCTGTCTCGCCAGCCTGGCCGAAGTGGACGCCCACTGGAGGGAGTTTGTGCGCTCGTTAGAGATGCTCTCCACCCGCATGCACGGGGCGCAGGATCTGGAGCAAGTGCTTCTGGAAGTTCACGGGCTGGTGAGGGACGCCGTGGCCCACGCACAGAGGAACGCACCGCGACTTTCTGCACAGGTACGTGGGATATTTGACAATTAGAACATTTTGAAATTATGTAGGCAAACTTTCTGTGATGCTAAGGTTAATTTCAAAGCTATCATGTTAGGTATTTTAGGTAAAAAGTATTTATTTAATAGTAAATATGGTAATTAAATGTTATTGTAAATAACTTAAAAAAATAAACCTTTTATTAGAGGAAGAATTGCTTAATTGTGTGGTGAAAATGCCACAAACATAAAAAAAATCATTAAAAAAATACCTGGCCCAAACATAATAATAACAATAATAATAATAATAATAATAATAATAATAATAATAATAATAATAATAATAATAATAAACTATTTTATTTATAAACTAATATAATTATATTTATATATCATTTTCACACAATAAACATCACAAAGCCTATTATCATTATTATCATTATTGTGTTTATGTTCAAATTATAGTTTTAATGTGTGGCGCTCAATATATTTAATGAAGGTTTTTTTTTTTTTTTATATATAAGTTAAAAGTTTCTGGGACGAGAGTAATTACTACAATCTACACATAAAATGCATACAATTATTAATTATTTTTCAGTGGGGTTATATCAAATAATAATAATAATAATAATAATAATAATAATAATAATAATAAACTATTTTATTTATAAACTAATATAATTATATTTATATATCATTTTCACACAATAAACATCACAAAGCCTATTATCATTATTATCATTATTGTGTTTATGTTCAAATTATAGTTTTAATGTGTGGCGCTCAATATATTTAATGAAGTTTTTATTTTTTTATATATATATAAGTTAAAAGTTTCTGGGACGAGAGTAATTACTACAATCTACACATAAAATGCATACAATTATTAATTATTTTTCAGTGGGGTTATATCATATATTAAGAAAAAATCCTGTTTATGTTGTAATCGATTTTGGCTGGAATAAAACAATGCCTAGGCCAATTACATACTAATTTCTGTTTTGTGTATAATATTCTGACATGACTTGATGGCAGCATTTGATATGTGAGATTTAAAATGTATTTTAGTCCTATTTTATTAAATCCTGAAGGCTAAACGTTTGTTTACTTTTGTCACGTCGAAAAACTTTACATTCTCAAATAGGTGAACATTTTT